GGGCGATGCCAGGCGAGGCAAATGGCTGAAACGCAGGGGCCGAGCTGGCGGAGGGGCCGGGCGGGCGCGGGGCCGCGCTCAGCCCCTTTGTTCGCCTGGCAGGCGGAGGGGAGGGAGGAGCGGGCACGGACCTGTTGCCGCTGCCGGCGGCGGCTCCCGGCGAGGCGCAGCCGCTGGGGCGGGAAGCCGCGCGGTGTCGGCGGTGAGGAGGGGCGGGCGGCGGAGCGGCCCCACCTGCTGAGGAGAAACTCCCCCCGTGCGGGGCCGGGCAGGAGCGGCGAGTCCTCCTTCACCTCCGGGTTGGGCCGTCCCCGGGATACCCAGGGCGGCGGCGCTTCCCTGCCTGAGGCAGGGCCGGGGGCTTTGCTGCCGGAGCCCCGGGTGACCGCGGCCCCCTAGGACAGCCCATCCCGGCCCGGCACCGCCGTGCTCGCTGCGGGGAGGGTTCCCAGGCGGAGCCTCGGGGTTGTTCAGGTCTCTCCTTCTGAGGATCAACGCGAAGGAGGCCAGGTGGCTTCTGTTTGGGTGCAGTTTGGGCCAGGGTCCCATTTTCTTCTGCGCTTCAAAGCTGGGACCTTCATAGGGATTCCCAGAAACAGACCCGTTTCTCAGTTGCTTTAAAACCCCCTCACGTTACCTTAATTGTACCCTGGGTCTGCTCCCGACGAAGGCGATGGTACTTACCCAGCTCACTCCGCACCGCGGGCTGCAGTTTGATTTCTGACAAGACAGCAGACATTCCGTGCTATCCCGGCCTTTCTGAACCATTCCTGGTCTCGGGATGTGTCGTATTGCCATTGTAACATGTACATTTCCTATGATTCTGCTGCCTCCAAACACTACTCATCTGCAGGTTTTCTCTTTTCTCCATTGACTCCAGGGTCCCGTCAGACTGGTTCCCTTGCAGCTGCCCAGCCAGTGGCTCCTGGCCCTGGGAGACACTCCTGAGCAGACTGGAAAAGCTACTACCCTGTCTCCTCTCTTAAATCAACCTGACAGTTAATTGCTCTGTGCTGGCAGTATAGCCATTGCAGCTGTATGTTCTTCCAGCTTCATGGTGGTGATGGCTAAGTGTGGTTGGATGTCTTCTTCATTTTGTCTCATTGCTCCTACTTTTTGACACTGGTTTTGCTAAAACTCTTATGTGTTGACTTAGCACTTAGTAAACTAAAGTGCTTCCATGCAGTGCTGGGTAACTGTAACCACTTGAAACCCTTGGCTCCACTCATGTTGTGCACTTGACCCAAAGGCTGGTTTTCAAGCTGAGGTCGTGTCTGATCTCTACTGAGAGAAGCCAGCCTGCTTCTAGGTGCCATAAAATAGATAAGTAACAATCACACAGTGTCAAAGGGGTCTTAGAGTAGTCGGTAAACACAACATATGGCTTTAGCCTAATTGCAAATTTCCCGCTGTGCCCTAATTAGGGTCCTTTATGAGATTAGACTGTAAGTTTCTGTACATGGTTTTATTCCTGGCTAGCTGGAAGAAGTTTCCATGTGATGCAGCAGATCCATTAAAGCCTGCCAGGAATAACTCCTCTCTCCTGACATCAAGAATTAATCGTCCTGCTGTTTCATATTAATTTAAATACTATATATTTCAAGATGACACTGAAATTAGACAACTGATACCGATATGGGAAATTATTTTCTCTTTTAAAATCTCTGTTGTTCTATTCTTATGTGGAAGATTGCCTCTCCTTAAGGTGCCTTACTTCTGTTCATGCTGATGAGAGTTATGTGACTGTGGTAGCAGTATGATATCTGAGATCATTTGAGATCACTCTGACTCATGCTTTCTGAATACATGACAGTTTAAACACAACTGGATTTTCTTAACTCATCTTCAGGTTTAACTGCCACATCACATTCCAGTGTGGGTGTAAACAGAGGTGTCTGAGTTATGGCTTCTGGAGGCCTTTGAAAAACAGTGGTGGGTAGGAACTAGCATATTGTGTTTTTATGTGCCATATTTGCCCCTGCGGAGGAGCCAGGGGACGACCTATATCAAAATTCAAGCTCCACGGAGCTTGTAATCTGAGAAGTCAGGTAACCCTTGGCTGTTGCAGACTTTATCCTCTGCTCCCACTAAACATGCCAGAAACAGATCAGGTAAAATGACCTCAGTTCTGCTTTATGGAAGTTTAGCTTTGGGCAGCTATTCCTTAACTTTGTAAGCCACAGTCTACTGTCTTCCCTCCAAGTTTCTTTCCAGTCCCCCATGCCCCTCTTTCATTAAACCTATTAGTGAAAACAAATACAAAGGACACTTGCTGACCTTAGTAAAACTTTTTCTGATTCTGTAGATCACAGGCTGGGACACTTGCCATGGACATTAAGGCTGCTTGTTGCCTTTCAGTTTTTAGTAGAACTGGAGATGATGCTAAAAACTGGGACACCCATTACAGAAATCATCTCAGTTCTAGTTGTTTGATTTCCCTACTTAACCTGAGTTCCCAAGGCTCCATTTACAATTAATATACAGGAATAACCATGTCTGAAGGGCAATTTTTCTTGCCTATCTTTGATATTTTAGGATGAGGTGAATCATCCTTTGGTATTTCTCATTTCTCTCCATTAGCTGTAAAGTCAGACTGGTACAGCTGCAGATAACTAATAATAAACACCTAAATTACATGAGATGAATCCTTGTCCAGGCATAGAAAAGACCCTGTCTCAAGGAAAACAGGTATCACACAGCTTACAAGATACATAATTTGGTGGCTGACATGCATTTCTCTAGCCCAACAAATGTGACAAATATTCAGAGGGACTAATAGTTTGTAATGCTGCTACTGGCCATCAGGACTTGCTGAGATCCTGTGTTTGCAAGGAGCAATTAGCCTGGGACAACAACAGTAAGTAGCATGGCTAGTAAGGGCAGAAAGGGAAGCCTTTGCTCTGCT